GACTATTTTGTGCCAGCCTTTCCTGGTTGTAGGAAAGCTAACAGTTCACTGGACTATTTTGAGGATTATTATGCAGGGTTCCTCCTCCAGTCCTTCAGATAAGACTGTAGACTGTGTTAAATCCCTTTCTACTTAAAATTGCCAGGAGGTCTTCCATCACTGTGAATGCTATCTCTTATACAATGCTCTCTCTCCCCTCTGCAATAGTTCCTCTGCAGAGTAATCTTCCTAATGCAGAATTCTATCACATTGTACCCTATGCCTTAAGAATGAAGCTCAAACATCACAGCACTAAAGGCCCTCGACATCCAATTATCAATCAATAACTCCAGCCTCCTCTTATACATTCGTCTTTTATTCTACCTGCCCTACTCAGGAGGGAGACTATTTTACACACATTTGGTTGAACCTGTTTTGTATCTTCTTATCATTTTTACTCAAATATCTCCCTAGGCTTGTCATAGTTTTTCTACTAATTTGGGGCTTTGAAAATACTACTGATCTCTAACAGTCCTATTCTTTTGTCAAGTTTCCATGAGTCCCCAAAGAGAATTAATCATTTTGTGTCCCACTCAAAGCATGTACAAGATCAAACTTCTTTGGCACTTTCCACATTTTGACAGCAACATACCCAATGTAAACATTTTACACATGTTTACTTGATTATTCCATTAGAACATGACCTTCAGAAAGTAAAGGTCAACATTTATTTTCAGTCCTTCCATTACCTGTTGTAGTAGCTGACATGAAGTATCAGATAAATATGTATTGGATGCAAAAATAGACAAATAAAAGAAGATATTTAATAGTAAAAAATATATGTATTAGCATATTTTGTATTGCCTAGGACTGGCTATGCCAAAGACAGTATATATGCTTAGGAAACAGACAAACAAAAACAGTCAGGAAATATCAAATGAATTACTAGTAAAATTGCTACTTGTGTCAAAGAAAAAACTTATTAAATACGCTTCTTAAAGACTTCTTCAAAATTAAAATATTGACTTCTACCTCATGGAGTTTTCATCCTTTCCAACCCCGATCTATCCGTAAGTGTCCTTTATATACATAGAGATATTTTATCCAGTCAAGTTATCAGGTCTTTACTCCAGACCACATTTGCCCTCAATGATGCACTGGCAAACTGGCTCTCTGAAAGCAGAAAGCCTTAATGTTTAGCATTTGCCAATTTCCAGATGCGAATACTTTCAACATATGCCGTTTCAAGGATGGCTGTGTTTAACAACCAGCTTGAAATATCCCTGAAAATTTAGCAATCAGTCCTCATGAGCAGGTACAAGCCAGCTGTAGCATGCCAATGTTTTACAATCAATTTCCAACAGTCAACTCCCACAGTTATACCCTGGACCTGAGACTTCCCCTTTGGAATGGAATTGAAGTATAACCCTCTGTCTCTGACTCTGTCTTTCTTTCTCTGTCTTCTTCTCTTCTTTCCTCTTCGTTTTAATCATAGTTGTCATAGAGCCATCTATTAAAACCTAACCCCACAGCAAATCACTTCTTTTCTCTTTACAGCATCGTTACTGCATAAATTCCCTTCTATTGCCTTTTTTCCTGCAAAATTTCAGCATCATAATGCTGGCAAATCCAGGGAAGAGCTCACAACCCCATGAATTATTGTGACAACAAATCCATAGTGCCCAACATCATATAATACCAGCTTGAGTAGAAATGCCTTTTACATGGCGCAGAATTTCTCTTTGTGTTCCCCTGGGGGCTAATCCAAATCCATACCACCTTCCTCCTTTCACACTAGTGTATTCTTGAGGAATCTCACACTATTTCTTCAAGTTTCTGAAGAGATCTTGCCCCTTCTCATTCTAAAGCAGCAGTTCTCAACCTGTGGGTCACAACCCCTTTGTAACAATGAAAATACATCCTGCATATCAGATATTTACATTACAATTCATAACAGTAACAAAATTACAGTTATGAAGTAGCAATGAAAATAACTTTATGGTTGGGGGTCATACAAGATGTGAAACTGTATTAAAGGGTTGCAGCATTAGGAGGCATTAGGAAGGTTGAGAACCACTGATCTATGGCATTCACTGAATGACCCCCTGAAATCACACTCTGACCTCAACTGTTTAACAGGACAATGACCTTCTACTTATCAAATCCAATGGGCTCATTTCTTTCCTCACCTTGCTTGAACTCTCCATGATAAGTGACAATGTTGTGCACAGCCCCTTCCCAAAATTGTTTACCTTGCCTTTTTTAATATCCCATTTTCATTATCATGTTTATCCAATTTCTCTAACCATTTTCCTCACCAAATTTTGCTTATACCTCCTCCCTACATTCAAGGCTTCTGTGTTTTTCAATTTTTAAGCATTTTTCATTCACACCATAATTTCAAACAACATCTATACATTAAAAAAAACTACATTTATAAGAGTCGTGTTTCTTTTTTTCCTTAAATATTTGCCTGTTTTACAATTCTTTTTGGTAAGAAATCTTTTTCCACTGGATTATATTTGGAGGACTCAAAACATCTTGGTGACATAGCTTCAAGAGAGATAAAGAAAGTACCATATAATATCTCCAGGTCCCAAGTGACAGTGGTCAGGTGAATCAAAACTCAGGGCTCCAAAGTGGACATGGGAGAACATTATAATTAAATATATTTAACTTAGTAAATAGCATTATTTTCAGCAGTTAGAGAAAAATATCAATAAGTCCATATACAACTAACCAATTTAAGATGTACCTTAAAGAAATATTTCTTTTTTTCTCCAGTCTACATTAAGTTATATGATTTCTAAAATGCAATTTGTCATAACCATGTTGCCCCCAAAACACTGAAATGTATCCAAACCAATCAGCTTTCTCTTCTTTGGGTCAGCATGAAGTGAAGGAGCATGCTATCTAATTTTCCTCCAGATAGCTTTTATGGTGGATATTAATCATATAAACACGTCTTCTTTCTTGGAAGTTTCATAAGGCTGGCTTATGCTCCACAGGCAGAATATTAGAAACCAGACAATTTCATAACACAGAATTCTTTATGGTACAATTTACTTTATTCATTGTCCCAAGACAATGAGTGCTGTTACTAAGATGAGGTTTTTAGGAACAGAACAGTTCTGTGATCTGGCAGTTGGTCGTAACAGCATTTGTTGAGGTAGCTAGGGGATGTTCTTTGCTCCCAGCCCTTACAGGAGTCATTGAGGCTGACAGCTGCTGGTGATGCACTGGCTTATCCCGTACGCAGTGCAGGAGAGACAAATCCTCACACCTTACAGAAGAAGAGCATTTTTAACTTTTACAAACTAGTTTGGCATCTTTTCTCTCATTTGATGTTCATCTTAAATTTAAGAAAAATGTCGGAACACAATTGCCATCTCTATTGAACAGGTTGAGAAAATGCGGTTTCGATGAGTAAATTGATTTCCTAAATTTGAATAAAAACTTAACCTCCATGACTCCCCACCCAAAGAGTATTCTCTTTTGCTAGTATTTCATTTGATTTGTCATTATATAGAAATTACTTTTTCCTTTGATTCATTCAAACTCACCTCACACCCTACATGTGCATTCTTTCTTTTAGAACAAAAGGGCAGAAAAAAGAAGAAACCCAGCAGTACATTGTTCCCCCTTCTGGGTTTTCACCTTTCTATCTACTGTGCCTCAATTGTTTCTGTTTTATGACATGCCCCCAAATTTTATTTCTAATGACATACTCAATAATAAAAATCTATTCAGTGAATGAAATGGTAAGTATAGAAGACACAGAACTCTAGTGTCACGAATCAGTTTCTTACAAGACATCTTAGTTCCTCCAAGACAAAGAAAAGGAGAATAAAAATATGTATCTGTCCTGGCACCTGTACCTCAGCAGCTAGGGTACCAGCCACATACACCAGAGCTGGGTTTGAATCCAGCCTGGGCCTGCCAAACAACGACAGCTACAACCAAAAAATACCTGGGCATTGTGACGGGCAACTATAGTCCCAGCTAATTGGAAGGCTGAGGCAAGAGAATTGCTTAAGCCCAAGAGTTGGAGGTTGCTGTGAGCTATGATGCCATAACACTCTACTGAGGGTGGCTAAATGAGACTCTGTCTCAAAAAAATATATATATATCTGACAGAGTTGTTGAATAGCAATACTTCCTACTCAGCTGCCATGGCCAAAAACCTGGGACTCTTCCCAGGCCACGTTCTCCTTCCCTCAGTGCTTATGTCCCCAAAGGCATCAAGCATTGTTGAATTTATGTCCTGAAAAGCTCTGAAATTGTCCTCCTTTCTCCATCCACACTAATTCTATGTTAGTTTTGACTCTTACTGCTTCACTGAGATTACTCTTAATCCATATCCTATTTCCAGTCTTGACAATATCAATTTTATTATACTTGTAGAGCATGGATTCCAGTGATAGGTGCAACACACAGATCCCTCAGGCTCTTTAAGAGTTCTTACATTTCTACTTTCAATGTGCTCTTGATCCCTTCAAATACTTCAGATGGGCAGCCTAATTAGGTAGAGGTTGTTCTTTTAGGCTCTTTATAAACCTACTATTTTTTGCATAGAGCTGTGCTGTTATCTATCAGTATGGGTAGAAACCAACAGAAAGTGTCAATGAAGCTTCACAGGCACCAGAGAAGGTAGCCAAGCTCACACTTACCAGAAAACTATCTAAAAAATGGTGAATCTGAAATGATGAACCTCAAATTTGCATACATAGAAAACTGCCTATAAAATCTCAGCATTCCTTTATCAAACAGATGCTTTTCCCCCATTGGAAAAGGTCACTCCAGATAGGGAGATTCAATCTTATGAAGACCCCTATTGACATTCAGTTATTTCACTGAAAACATTGCAAATAAATTTTGAGATGTAGCCTATTACACTAAGAGATATACCCCAACACGTACCTTCTGCAGTAAGATTCTGAGAATATCTCAAGTCCAAAGCCTCTTGGAATGTGACTTCCATAAACTACTATGAATTTGAAAGTTTACAAAATGATACTTACACCAAAGTTGGTAGCGGCAAACCGATCTGAAGCAGACACCTGTACATTTGTCGAAACTGTGGTATGAGCATAGAAGGCATTTATATTAGCCAGCAAGGTGCTCATGACAGCAGGGACACCCGGGCACATGTATTTAGAAGACAGACATGAAAAGTGCCTGCAACACAAAAATCAAAAAGTGCTTTTAAAACAGAAACTAATTCACATAACAACATTGCTTTTAACATCAGTAATTAAGTAATTCCTCAACTTCATCCACAAAAAGGAGAGAAAACTCTTGTAATCTCTAATTGAATGAAAAAGCAGCAATTTCAACTATTGGAAAATTTCACATTCATAAACATGAAGTGGCTTAATTAGGATGTAATTTGCCACAAGGATGTGTATAACCCTTTCAAGTGTGTGAATGTTGTTGTGGGTGCATGTATCAAAAGTGCAATTTCCAGCGGAACTTAGCACTACCAGAAAGCAATGGCATAGGAGTCTCCCCCTCCTCAAACCCTGACTCCACTTATTCTAGTTCCTGAAATGCCTGATTCCAACCGAAATTCTTTTGCATTTGTATTCTTCTTGCATTGATGTTATAGCAAGAAACCCTCTGCTTGTTACACATTGATTGAATAAGTCAACTAACATCTGACTTGAGTCCAGTTTGTGCACTTTTTATTTTCAGGAAAGAATACCTTCCTTGAGCAATTCTATTGTCTAAGTGCTTTGTTACAGATAGGATTTAATTAGGCAAACAGATGAATAGTGAGGACAGATTGAGTTATATCAGCTTTCTGCTTAAGGACCATTTCTTTTAAAACTTGAACAAGAGTATCATTTGGAGCCATCAGAAGCATCAAGCATTCAATTCTGTAACTTCTTTCAAGGAAACCTGCTTCATTTAAACTATAACAAAAGACTCGAAAATTGAAAGCATAGCTTATGATAAAAGTGAAAGATAAAATATTCACAGAAGAAAGAAATTTTCTGTATATAATCTGATCCTATTTGGCTTTCCTATCTTAGTAATAGATCCTCCTCCTAACCATTTCTGAATTTTGTATTACTGAACACAAACACAGAATACACGCACATAAGTGCCCTGAGTGTCAACCCTCCCCCCCAGATAAATGAATGGAAGTCCTGAAATTTGTGATTTGCCTTACATTTCAACCAGGCTAACTTGCTGCCTAACCTGTTGTGATATTGGCCAAAAAGGTAGGTTAAAATTTTAAGTATGTCTTTGATAATAATGAATAATAATGTAATAACTTATGCCATGAGAATTCCATAATTTGTGTAACTTAACCCTGGAATTAGATTATCAGTCATAGTTTCATTAGGATAAATAATACATAGTTGAATTTATTATATACTAAACTGATTATAGTATCTATTTAGAATCTCAAAAATGATAGAAAGGTATTAAAATAGATAATAAAAATACCCTAGTGATAGGCTATAACATTTTTTTCCCCAAAAGTTCACAGGTAATTAGATTTATTAGACTCAAATCACAGGCCAAAATTGTGGGACATACAGTGCCTAAATATAATGGTGTGGGAGATTGCAAAAGAGAATATATTTACCAAGCAGGAGAAAGAGACATAGAATCATCATAAGCAATTGTCAAAATAAACAGTTAAGAAATTCAAAGCCTATGGATTCATTACTCTGAACCTGCATTGTCAATTTTAAGGGAGACTGGAAGTCATCACATGGAATAATTTTGTTCTTGGTTTTAAAAAAGATTAGTGTCCTCCTACTTCAGCCATGTTACTCAGCCTTTGCTTCTTTTAGCTGCCACCCTGTGATTTTTCGTGACTGATTAAGGTGGCAGCAACAGCTCAGCAGTTACTTCAAGCATAAATAATAGAGGGAAATGGGAATAACCTACTTAAGCCATTCACAGTGTGACTCCTTTAAGTGAAATAAGAAGACTTATGTTGAAAGTGACAATTATTTTCTGAAAATAATCTTAAAAGGAGAGTCAACAAAAGCAAAAATAGACAAATGAAATTGTATTAAACTAAAAAGGTCCTGCACAAAAAAGCAAACAATCAACAAGCAAATAGACAACCTACAGAATGAGGAAACTACTTAAAAACTAGACATCTTACAAGGGATGAACATCTAAAATATATAAGAAATTCAAAAAACGCAATAGCAAGAAAACAAATAACTACATTAAAAAATGGGGACAACCTAATCATATATGTCCCATAAAAGAGACAGTGACCAATAGATATATGAAAAATGGTCAACATTACTAGTCATCTAGGAAACTCAAATTAAAGCCATAATAAGATGGGGGTGGGACAGAATTATAAGATAGATTTTACCTAACAAATGCAAAAAGTGACCAAAAAAAGTGGTATGTGGATACCATGAAATACCATTCAACCTTTGAAAAAGATGAAGACTTGGGGCGGCGCCTGTGGCCCAAAGGAGTAGGGCGCTAGCCCCATATGCCAGAGGTGGTGGGTTCAAACCCAGCCCTGGCCAAAAACTGCAAAAATAAAAAAAAGATGGAAACTTTACATCTTTTGTATTAACATGGATGGAGTTAAAACACATTCTTCTCAGTAGAGCATCACAAGAATGGAGAAGCAAGACTCCAGTGTATTCAGTACTAATATAAAGCCCATAGAGGATCTAATACACACCCACTTAAGGGAAAAACTCAAATCAATTCAAGGTGGGGGGTCGGGGAACAAGGGAGCAGGGATAGGGGAGGGCAATAAAAAATGTGGCATGTGTCCATGATGGAATACCTATTTGTCCATAAAAATGAAGAAAATCCTGCCATTTATGACAACATAGATGAACCTGGAAGATATTATGTTAAGTGAAATGAACCAGGCACAAAAAGACAAACACCATAGGATCTTACTCATCTGCAGAATCTAAAAAAACTGAACACACAGAAGTAGAGTGGAATGGTGGCTATTAGAGGCTGGGGCAGTTGGGGGAGTGGTTGGAGACATGCTGGTCAAAGGATAAAAAATTTCATTTAGATGGGAAGAGTAAGTCCAAAAGATAGTCACCATATGACTATAGATAATGACATTGTGTTATATTCTTAAGAAATGCTAGATGAGTAGATGTTAAATGTTCTTACCACAAAAATGATAACTTTGTGAAATTTTCTATATGTTTAGTGGCTAGATTTAGTCATTCCACAAGGTATATATGCTTTAAAACATCACCCTGTAAATGACAAATACATATAATGATCTCAAAAGTTGCAGAAAAAGCAACCAATAAGATGTAGTATCCCTTCATAATAAAAACCCTCTAAAAAATAGGCATGAAGGAATATACCTCAAAATAATAAAAGCTGTACATGGAAAACCTACAGCTGATTTCACCCTATACAGAGAAAAGTTGAAAGCATTTCCCTTAGAACTGGAAAAAAGTAAGGATGCCCATTCTCATTGCTCATACTCAACATCATACCAGAAGTGCTAACCTGCAATCCCACTACTAGGTAAATCAGGCAAGAGAAAAAAAATAAAGGGCATCCAAATTGGAAAAGAAGAAGTTGCATCATTTATCTATCATGAGTTAATGTTTATGAGTGGTGAGAGGTGCAAGTCCTGTTTCAGTCTTTTACATGTGGAGAACCACTTCTCCCAACACCATTTGTTGAATAGGGATTTTTTCCCTGATGTATGCTGTTGTTTATAAGACTGGTTTCATCTCTAGATTCTTTGCCCTATACCACAGGTCTATGTCTCTATTTTATGCCAATACCATGCTGTTTTGAACAGTACTACTGGCCTCGTAGTATAGAATATAGGGTATGTTTTGAAATCTAGAAAAGTGATGCCTCCAGATTTGTTCTTATTTTGTAGAATTGCATTGGCTATTTGGGGTTCTTTCTGATTCCATATGAAGCATAGAAGTATACTTTAAAAATTCTAAAAGAAAGCTCTCAAAGATAATAGCCTATGAAAAGAATTTATGAAAAAGACCCCAAAGGCAATTGCGGTAACAACAGAAATAAACAAATGGAACCTGATCAAGTTAAAACATTTCCACACAGCCAAGGTCACAATCAAGAAACCATAGAGACAGCCTACAGCCTACAGAAAGGAAGAAGATGTGTGATGCTATACATCCAGCAAAGTGCTAATACCCAGAATCTACAAAGAACTCAAGCAAATCAAAAAGAGAAGATCAAACAACACCATTAAAACTGTGCAAGAGACATGAACAGAAACTTTTCTTATAATGACAGACTAATATCCAATAACCACATGAAAAAATGCTCATTGTCTCTAATCATCAGAGAAACGCAAATCAAAACCACACTGTGATATCACCTATCCCCAGTGAGAATGACTCACATGATAAAGTCTTAAAGCAGCAGTTGCTGATGTGGATGTGACAAGAAAGGAACATATATACTATTGGTGGGGCTGCAAACTAGTACAACTTAATATAGAAAGTAGTATGGAGTTTCCTCAGAAAACTGAAAGTAGCCTTACCACGGGATCCTGCAATCCACTACTAGGTATTTACTCACAAGAAAAAAAGACTTTTTATCATAAAGGCATTTGTACTTGAATGTTTATAGCAGCACAATTCACAATCACAAAAATATGGAAACAACCCAAGTGCCCTCCAATACATGACTAGATTTCGTGGTAAATGTATGTCATGGAATAGTATTCAGCCATCAAAAGATGGAGATTTTTTTAATCTTTTATAACAACCTGGATGGAAGTGGAGAACGGTTTCCTAAGTGAAGTATTATAAGAATGGAAAAACAAACATCACATGTGCACAGTACTAAATTGGAACTAGTAGTTTAACACCTACATGTTCAGAGGAGAGAAAAAACTCAATACAATTCAAGTAGGGAGGGGGAGAAAAGAGTTGGGTAAATTCCTACCTAATGGGTACATTGTGTGGGGGCATAGCATACTTCTTGGGTGAAAGACAAAACTACAAGTCAGACTTCACCTTACAAAAGCAAACTATGTAACCTAATTGTATGTATCCCTATAATAATCTGAAATGAAAGAATAAAGGAAATTTTGGATGCCATTGAAAATATAACAACAACAAAAAAGAAGTTGAAATGTCTTTGTTCACTTATAATACTATCTTACACCTAAACTATACCCAAGGCTCTCCTTCATAAATGAACTTGGTAAAGTT